CACTATCACAGTCTGATGGAGGATTGTTTCTATGTATTTGCCTCTTGGTAATTCGAGGGATAGAAATTTCTATTTCCAATTCCAATGCAAAGTCTTGTGCTTTTTTAAGTACCTACTTCATCAATAACTAGGTCGGCATCTTCACGGTTTTTCTTCAGAACGTTAAGGATTACGTTCAGATGTTCTTGCAACTTAATTAAATCCATAGTTTTTGCTTGCAAGGCATTAACAACCGGCTCCAGTAAAGCTGAATATTTTGCAATTATACTTAGGGCAACAATTAGTGAGGGTTTGGCAACGGCGGCATGCAACTGGTACGCAGATTTTCTCGTGGGGTAGTTTCCTTCGATAGATAGTTTTTCAAGTGATTTCACAATTTCGAGAAAATTTTGTGCAAATAAGCGAATACTTTTGTATTTTTCAGACCATCTAGTCTCACACAGTCGTGATAGATTAGGAGCGGAACTTCTGCGAGTGGTGGATTCCCTGAAAAAGGTTATAACATCCTTTACGGTGCCAATAGTGTTTCTAATTTCCGGAACATTATTTGCATCATTGACAACACGATTTATTTTATGGTTTGAGCAATGAAAAAATAATGCTCGTGTGTACTTTTTCCTTAAAATCGCTTGTACGCCAACCTCTTTGCCCGCCATCGTAGCGCAGCCATCAAAACCAAGTCCTACACAACTATGCGGTGAAAAATTATAGCTAACTAAAAAATTGTCTATTGCATTGGCAATTGCTGGGGCATCCTGTGCTGTCAGCTCCACAAAACCCACAAATTCTTCTCGGACTTTTTTTTTACTTTCATCATAGAAACGCAAGCCAATGGATAGCTGCTCCTTTCCTGAAACGTCGGCTGTCTCGTCGGCTAAAACTGTGGCTTTCTTTGCATCATTTATCACACTCTCCCTAATAACTTCGCCACATAAATATATGAGTTGGTTTTGTATTTTTGGTGACGTATAAACAGCATTTCTACGACACTTTTCCAGGTGATTCTTTAATTTGATGTCGCCCGACTCAACTCGCAAATTCATTAGATCGAAAAAAACTCCCTCATCTGCTTCTTTTCCTCGTAGAGGCATATCGTGTGTGCCACAGAATACTACACAGGAAATAATAGAGGCCAATATTTGCTTGTTCTCTTCGATTGTTTTTTGGTGGAAACTTTGAACTTGAATGTCCACAGGTATATTTTCGAGAGAGGCCTTTGCAGCAGCAGATGCAGATTTGTGAAAGTTATTGGTGGCATGTTTACGACAATCTTCGTGCATATTCCTAAACTTCGTAAATGGTCTGATCATAAATGAACCTAACACTCCCCTTACTGTGCCAGTAGAAGGAGGAAATAAACCACCGTGCTTACACAGAGCACCCTTTAGTCGCTTGGAATACACTAACCATGGTGTGTATTGATCTAACCAAGCATAATTAAATTTTCTTCGCAAATGACTGGCATCGGCTGCAAAATCGTAATTCTTGGGTGGAACCCACGGATTTTTTAACAACTCTTTTTTTCTTTCCATCGTCAGGTGAAATGTTTGTCCTACATAACGACCCAAGTCATTTTCGTGGCAACCATCATTCTCTTCAATTTCGGGATTGACTACAGAGCCAGATGTTGACGGTAAAGATTCTAAATTAGGAGCAGTGACTTTCTTAAATCTCAAAGAATTTAGCGGTTGCTCAGATTCAGATTCAGTTTTAGATGGGCTTGGCGATGAAATTTGATCATTGTTATCATCGCTCCCGCTGCTACTGTCATGTTCTTTTTTCCTCTTGAGAGTTTTAGTAGCTGCAAAACACAATAATGCCGCTATTAGTATTTTATACAGTGTGAGTGATATCCATGTTAGTGTTTTGTTTAACATGTAACATGGAAAAAAACATTTTGTTTTTTTTAATTGGAATTTACAGATATTACACAAATGTCGTCGAATGTAACTTACTAACTGTAACTTACCTGTTTGAAAAAATTTCCTGATATCCATTTATCAGTGTGGAGATACCGAGATGCCCGAAATAGGTAGATTCAGCAGATTTTCCAATAAGTACTGTAACGTTTTTAGCGTGAACTTGTTCGACTACGATGTGATAAAAGCTGCCAATTAATTAAAACTATACTTTTATTAACACTTAACTAAAATTCACTCTGATTAATTTAACTAAACACACTAACTAGTTTATGTAACGCCTTGTATCTTGTATTTATTTATAAAAGTATTCTATTCTTCAACCCGGCACTGGCGAAATCTGCCCTCGCCGCCCGACATTGTTCCTTTTATATCCGAAGCGCCTGCTTCTCGAAGATTCTCTCCGCAGCACGTACGAAGCTTCGCGCTGCGTCTCGAGAATTCTCCACGCGGCCGGGAAGAGTCAGAGGCGGACTCAGGGTAATTTTCGTTACAGTACAATCTAATATAAATTTCTGACAATGTTTACTAGTGTAACGTAACTGCTAACAACATAGCATAGACGTTTATCAACAACTAAGTAAATTAAGTTTACTTGCAGTACTTGCACAAACAAATTAACATTGAATAACAAATGAAAATAATCGAATTCCGTTAGAAAAACAACACAATACAACAAATTCGCAGGGGCCAGGATCGTAATAGAAAATTCATATTTCTTTGCTAATTCCGCTAATTGCAAATCTAGTAGGCTGTGCAGTGCGCTGCGTTTGACTTACGTAGGTATATGAATATATTTTAGTAGTATTTAGTAGTATATTTTTCGGGTTTGTAATTTTTTTAGTAAAACCATAGTGGTTTATTTTGATTTTTTTATTTTCTGCACTTAGCGGAGCCTTTTTATAATTTATAAAAAAAAATTAGCTGCCCCCCCCCTGCCCCTCGCTGGGTACGCCCTTGCTGACCACAATAAAGAATTTTTCTCAACCTAATATAAGACAAAAATCAGATTTATTAACTCTGAGAACAAATAAAATAAAATTACTTAACTTCTATAGCAGTCGTTTTCAAATAAATAATTTAAATAAACAAAAAACTGAGGTTCTGGGTTATGTATTATTATTTATGTTCGTTGTTGTTCAACCACTGACCCGTTTTCGACCTCATTAAGCATGCGTCTGATTTTAGAACCAACAGTTCTTCCTTTCAAGCGAGAATCGTTTGAACCGTAATTTTACTATCCGTAACTCCGGTTGGAACGACGAACTGTCAATTATCGCCAATTCTAAATTAGTAATTTTAACTGGTTGGAACAGCATTTCAGAATTGCGCATGTGTGCCAGTAATATTACTGGAAGTTACTGCCGGTTGGAACAAACCTACTATTACCATGCAGCGTAATAGGGTTTTATTAAATAACAAATTAGCAGTAGGGGAAAATATAATTAAAAAAAAGATTTTTCAATAATTTTACAAAAACCTATTGTGAATATGACCTCCCTGTGATTATCGACAACAGCTTGGAGTCTTCGACGCCATTGTCCAATTGACTTATTTATAATTTGTTGATTAAGTAAACTATTCTCTCTTTGAGCTGATCAATAGTATTGATTTGAGTATTCTCATAAACTTTTTCCTCTAATGTCCCCCAAATGTTATAGTCGACGGGATTTAACTCCGGGCTATTTGGAGGCCACATGTTTGGCTCAATAAAGTCAGGACAATTTTCCTGCAGGTATCTCAAAGTACTTCCTGACGTATGGCTTGGTGCGCCATCTTGCTGGAATGTGTAAGTTGTCGCTAATTGTTTCTATTTGTCGAAGCATATTCTGTAAAATGTCCCGTTGATAGATTTCGGAGTTTATTTTTACTCCAGAGTCAATAAAATAAAATTCAGTTTTTCCTAGCATCGATACAGCCAAAGAAACCATAACTGATTTCGAAAAATGATCCCTGGGAACCAGAAGATGCTCCAGTGGTATTTCCGATTTTCTTTGTACAGGGTGATCCAGTATAAAGTGAACCCCCCCCCTACCTTTTCGCAAAAATTTTTTTTTTCAAAAAAATTGAGATAGCCATTTGTTGTATTTTTTTTTTAGGAATTTGAAAACTTTTTTGGAATTTCAATTAGATTTTTCGTTGAAGTGCTGTGATCAAAAAAGTAATTATTTTAAATGGAATAACCTATATTATTTAAATCCATTTTTTGAACGACCCTATTTTTCTCATTTCAAATTCAAATATATAGTTTGTTTATCTTTATCTTAGTAATTTGCGATATATTCTCATTCAAGATTCTAATAAAAAAAAATAGCCGAAAAGGTATTAAGGTAAATATAAATAATTTTTTCTATTTTGGTGTCATATCGAAGTCTTTTCTACACTAAAAGTAGTTTCGAAAAGAAACTCTTTGTGACACTCCTTTTTTACTTATCGAAGGTTGGTAACACTGGCTGACTGATGGCCATCGAACTGTCATTCGCGATAAAAAATAATAGAAGATTTCTATATTTGGCATGTAGTGTTACCAACCTAAACATATGAAATCAGGAAATATGAGAATAAAATTTCCAAGAATTTTTTTTTTTTTAAATTAAACAATACCAAAATAGAAAAAATAGTATAAAATATTCGTTTCATAAGACATTTTATCGCACTCGCCCTAATATAGGGCTCGTGCGATAAAATGACGTCTTATGAAACTTGTATTTTAATGTACTATTACCTTTAATAAAACTACTGGTTATTACGTTTTATGATACCTTTCCGGCTATTTTTATGTGAATTTTAAAGTGAGAATATATGGCAAATTACTAAAATAAAGATAAACAAAGTATATATTTGAAATGAGAAAAATAGGGGTGTTTAGTAGATGGCGTGCGAGTAGATAGGTCGTAGCTGGTATCTGCTCCTAAATTTTCAAGTCAAAGCGCCTGTTAACTTTAAAAATAATTACCGAAATCTATCGGAAGTATAAGTGCTAGTTTCTGTGCATAGAGTCGTGTAAGGTTTCCTGGAGCAGCAATTTTTTTGGTGTAGAAATACAGGTTTTACTTGTGAAATATTCTATTGTCCGCCATAATGGGTCTGTCATCCGCAGATCTGAGAGAGATAAAAGGTTGCATTATCTCAACATTCAATGATAAATTTCTGCAAGATGTGGTTTCCAAAGTGGCTGCAATGGTAGACAAACAGTTAGAGGAGAAGTTGAAGGCCCAGGATGTGGAAATCGAAACGCTCAAAGAAAATCAAAACAAAATAATTGAGGAAAATATGCAGCTGAGAAAAATTATCGATGATCAAGAGCAGCATGCGCGGAACTTAAACGTGCGCATCCATGGAATCAAGGTTGAAGATGGCGAAAATACCGAAAATCTGCGAACAAAGGTTTTGGAAGTGTTTACAAATAAATTGAAAATAAATCTGGTCGACTCGGTAATAAAAAAGTGTCATCGTGTTTCTTCTATGGGACCCAGCGATCAGCCTCCTGCAGTTTTAGTTCGTTTCGCCTCGGATACATCGCGCTCTCAGGTGATAAGAAATCGAAAAAATTTAAAAGGCTCGAAAATTGTGATAAGGGAAGACCTTACAAAAAATCGCTTAGGCCTATTGAAGAGTGCAATTGACGTTTTTTCTAGTAAATCTGCGTGGGTGTTAAACGGAAATATCTATGTAAAATGCGAAAATGAAGTGCATCGTATCTCTGATAAATCAAAGTTAAGTGAGTTAAAAGAAAGCAGTGAGTAAATAGGGAAATATAAAGAAAGAACCTATTGTGTGCATAAAATTATAATTATTGTTATTATTTGAACCTGTAAATTGGTAAGCGATTGAAATTGTGTTAAAAATTATATTGGTATTATTTTTCTTTATCTGCAAAGTTTTTTGCCTATTGTTTCTTTTTTGTTTACTAAGTACCTACTATATTTTCAAAAACAAGACAAAAAAGCATGGCTTAAACAGCGTATTGTTTATAAATTTTATTTTTCAAATTGGGCAGTACCGGCTTTCCTGGTAGCTAGTTAGAGTTTAATTTTCTTTTTTCTTTTCTATAAAATGAAACATTTAAAGATAGGGCATTTGAATGTTCGTTCTTTGGCAACGGGATTTGATTATTTTAAATCAATGATTTTAAATTCAAAAATTGACGTCATGTGCATGTCGGAGACATGGTTAAATGATGAGGATTCGCATTTTGCTCAACCTTTGATAAACTTTGATTATTCGATTCCTAATTATACACTATTTGGGGTAAATAGGGATGGCAGGGGAGGAGGTGTTGGTATTTATGTTAGTAATAGTTTAAATTGTGCATACACGCTACAAGATTTCCCATCGATTGAGGGGTTGGAGCTTGTTTTCATTGAATTGATGATTGGAAAGGAGAAAATTTTGGTGGGATCAGTTTACAAACCCCCAAAGTCAAACCTACAAAAATGTGTTGATTATTTCGATGATCTGTTGTCTTTTATTGGTCCTCAATATAAAAATATTATTGTTCTAGGTGACGTAAACGTAGACCATTATTTTGATAATATTCTTTTAGAATGCTTTTCGACCTACGACTTTGCTCAGTTGGTAAGCGAGCCCACCAGAATAACAAGCACCACTCAGAAAATTATTGATGTTATATATTTTAACCAACCCTCAATGGTAATAGATTGTATCACGCTCAACGCGGATTTGATTTCTGACCACAGAGCTATCATTTGTGAGTTAAATATATCCGTGGAAAAGTCTAAACCAATAATGGTTTTTTATCGAAATTTTAAGCAGCTCACTATTGATGAATTAAATAGGGATATTCAGGTCATTTTATGGGATGACATTTTCTATATTCAAGACATAGAGGAAAAAATTACTTTTTTCAACACAAATCTTTTAAATTTATTTAATAAACATGCTCCTTTTGTAACGGCCAGGGTGACTAAACCTATTTCTCCATGGATCACGTATAATATAAAATCCCTTATGAACCAGAGAGATAAAGCTTTGTCCAAATATTGGGGATTGGGCCTACTATAAAAAACTACGAAACACTGTGGGCTATGCTATACGGCAAGAAAAGAAATCTTTTCTTGAATTCCACCAAAGATCCAACAACAGTAAAGAACTGTGGAAGGCCATTAACAAGCTTAATTTGAAAAGAAGCGCAAACCGAGAGTTACCTGAAAACTTACGTAACCCAAGCGAAATAAATCAGTATTTTGCCTCAGTCTATGGTCAGCATCATAATTGTACAGACACTGTGAAAGAGTTTTCAGGTGCCAGGTACGATGAAAACTTAAAATTTTCCTTCAATTTGGCAACAATGGAAGAAATAAAAAATATAATTTTGGATTTAAAATCCAACGCTTCTGGCTATGATGGTATATCAGCGCAGATGCTGAAATTATGCATAAACTTTCTTGTACCACACATTACAAACATTATAAACTGTTGTTTGGAGACAGGATACTTTCCGAATGCGTGGAAGATCTCAATAGTGAAACCATTACCTAAAATAAATCAACCACAGTCTTATTCCGATCTGAGACCTATTTCATTAATACCTACATTGTCTAAAATTCTAGAAAAGCATATTCAACCGCAAATATATGATTTTTTTATTTTGAACAGCATAATTCCACAAACACAATCAGGCTTTCGAAAAGGCCATAGCACGTCTTCCGTTCTTGCCAAACTTACAGACGAAATATTTACTGCTCTGGACGAAGGTTTATCTACTGCAGTGATAATGCTAGATTTTTCCCAAAGCATTTGACACCCTTGATTTTGATCTTCTTTGTGCCAAACTAAGTTATTATGGATGTAATGATGTGGTCGTCAACTTTTTCAAGAACTATCTGAAAAACCGTAAACAGCAGGTGGTTATTCCAGATTGCGATCCCTCTGGGTTGGAAAATATAACGTCAGGGGTCCCACAAGGATCCGTTTTAGGTCCCATTCTTTTTTTAATTTACACAGCTGACATGTTCAAAATGGTTGAAAATTGTCAAATTGGAGGTTTCGCTGATGATACAGAACTTTCTTATAGTTTTGATAGCAGTCTAGTTGAGCAAGCGTCCGAATCTATAAATAATGACCTTTCAAGAATTCTGGATTATGCTAATAAGAATAACCTTAAATTAAATGCCTCTAAATGCTGTGTCATGACCTTTTCCCCAAAAAACAAAAAAGAATATATCAAATCAAATTTACGTATTTTTGTAGGTCCTACACAGCTAGAAATAGTCGACAGGGCAAAAAATCTAGGTATTACTTTTGATACAAATTTGAGATTCAATACCCACATTTCTAATACTATAAAAAAAGCGTATTTTGCATTAAAACCACTGTACTATAACAAATCAATCATCAATTTTAGGTTAAGAAAAAGGCTTTGCGAATCATTAGTTCTTCCGATTTTGAACTATTGCAATATGGTTGTCTTTCCATGTTTAGATAAAAAAACTGCGGGCAGGCTGCAGAAATTTCAAAATGCTTGCTGCAGATTCGTCTATGGTTTGAAAAAATTTGAAAGAGGTATATCCACAAAAATCAACCAGCTGGGCTGGTTACGATTGGAAAATTTATTTATTTGTAACTTGACCGTGTTTATACATGGAATGATTTCATCCTCCTCTCCTCCCTACCTTCGACGAAAACTAATTCAAAGAAGTCAAGTACATAGTGTAAATTTAAGATACCTAAATGGGTTTACAATGCCTCAACATCGTTTAACCAGTTTTCTCCGTAGTTTCACTTATAATGCAGTAAAACACTACAACAAGTATTCAAATATTGTTGAAAGTAAAAATTGCTCTGTTGCAAATTTTCGAAAGAATGTTAAAAACCATTTATTATTGGAACAAGGGAACAGGGTTTGATCAGATGAAAATCATACGTTTCTTTTTAATGGTAATGTAAAATACTGTTTCTTTTTTTTTTGTATCTTTTTTTTTTTTTTTTTTTTTCAGGGTAACATTTCTGTTAGTTTCATTTTTATAGTGATTTTAATAATTATTTTTGCTAGCTATATATTCTGTACTACCATCTACAAATATTTTCTTTTGTTAACTTAAAGGTTAAGTAGAGTAGCCTTAGAGCTAGACTTCGCCTATTTGTAAAAATTTATTACAATAAAGACGTTTCAATTCAATTCAATTCAATTTAAATAATTGATTTAAATATAGGTTATTTCATTTTAAAAAATTACTTTTTTGGTGACAGCGCTTCAAAGAAAAATCTAATAAAAGCATTTTCAAATTCCTAGAACAAAAATACACCAAATGGCTATCTTGATTTTTTCAAAAATAATTTTTTTACCAAAAAGCCGGTACATTCGAATATACCCTGTTGTTTTGAGGATTTTTTGGTTGGCGCAATGAAAAAACTTTTTCATCTGAGAACCAAATTTTTCCAACATCTTCGCGTCGTCTGAATCTTCTTAACAATGCTTGACATCTTTCTACTCTTTTATTCTTAACATCATTTGAAAATTTGTGACAGTATATTTTTTTAAACGGTCGATACTTCAAAACAATTTTAATAATGCTTCTTACCGATGATCTTTTAATAGTAGTAGTTTTTGCTATTTTCCTTGAACTTACTGTATTACCGGGTTCGACAGCATCAAGAATTGTCCTTATTCTTTCAATGTTTTCAATACTTCTACCAGTTTTCTTTCTTCCTCTTCCAGGCTTCATTGGTAATGAACCATTAGTTTCAAGTAAATGTCTTGAGAAAATAACTAACGGTACTTAACTTCCAATTGACGTGTCTCGTAATACCTGTTGTGCGCGCGCAACTCGTGGCTTCCAGGTGAGCATCCAATGAAAATCGAGTTTGTTAGGGCCTTGCGTCATATTCGTATTCAGGGACGAGTTCAGAATTATTCGTTCCTTCTTTCTTTGTAACGTGTAATTTGACAAAGAGCAAACAAATACTTTACGTATTACTTGAACTTATCCCAGTGTCGTTTAAGGTTATGTTAGATTATACTTGACATATTTCATTGTGGGATGTTGCCGGATCAAACATTTATCGAAATAAAAGTGCCATCGATGTTAAGATACTCTTTAAAGCTCTTTTTCTGTCTATAAAGGCGTTGTAAAACACTTGACAATATATCACTTCTTTAAAGTTATAATGTTCGATTTGTATTGTCTACATTTGTTCTGCAACAATACAATCTGGCTACACTGCAGCCACTAGTTGCGCGCGCATGTCATTTTTTATTACTTTTTAACTTTTATTTATTACAATTAAGCTCTCTTTTTCTATCTCTGCGAGACACGTCAATTACGCTCTGGGTAACTTTTTATAATCTTTTTTGCGCCATAACCTTTGACTCTTAGGGATTTAATCAAAATTTTATCCTCAAATGATAAATATGAGTATACCATTTTGAAGTAAATTTATACACTGACAAGTTACTATTATTTACATACTGTTGTCAAGGGATACAACAGCTTTATTTTTTTTTAAAGTCATACTTTTTTAACGGTGGTACTGAAATGAAAAATCGAAACGAAAATGCGGACGGAAGTGACGTCATCAACATTACGGATGTATTGCTCCCTCTCTCTCCTATTCCCTTTCTTTCATCAGAAATTTCTTTCTGCTCTTGGGAATGAGATGTCTGGGCGCTTCACCAACGTTGCTCTTCGAAAAGTTTAATTTCTGTAGTGTGGCCCGAGCGCACTCTCTTCTTTTTTTCACAGGTAACTTGATGTTAACAGTGTTTCTGTTTTGTTA